CGTATTAAGTAAGAGGCTTCCTTACCAAAGCAGCACCTATCAAGCGGAACAGCGAAATCCGCTTCATGGTTGCTATAATCTAATACGATTGCCCAATCTACTACAATGTAGTCTGACGATAGACTATCATTAAGTATCTCCAATGCAATCATACCACCTCAAAGGTGGTAATAAAAAGCAGAGAGAACTTAAAAAAACTCTCGACTGTAGGCGGAACATGCGTGGTTGGGTCTCCGATCGTAGGAACATTGAACCAGGTAACAGCAAAGCCGACTATCTGACCAGAAAAGGAACAGATATAACTACGATAAATTCTGCTAGTTTTCACCAGAAGACGGAGGGAGACCATTGTTGGAAGTAAACAGAACTAACTCTTTATTCCTTCTAAACAGGATCTACATCAGTGGAATAACCAGCGTGATAACCGGACACTGTCTTATGTTGAAAAGATGAGCGGCTACTTAACAAACGACTTCAGCCGCAGCTATAGTGATCTATATGAGGAGGAATCGGACAAACATTACCTCTGCTACTGTACGCGGAAATGTTTTGCTATACATACAATCATTGGCGGCCGCTGTAGCCGAGCGGTTAGCATTGCGTATTGCCATTCAGAAGACCCGGGTTCAAATCCTGGTGTCGTACTAACATTCAAAAAAGTTATGGAAAATTAATTAAAATAAAAAAGTTAGATTTTCTAATTGCGGTCGTCCCTCGGCAGGGAATGTCAAGCACTTCGAGTGCAGTTCTGTCATGAAATAAAAGCTCTTCGTAAAAAGGCAATCGACCGTTCGGAGGTAGCTTAGTATAAGCTGTAGGTCCCTCCATTTGTTTGGAAAAACATCAAGACACAAAACCACAAAATGAAGAAGCAGCCGAAAGTTGCTTCAGCGGTTACAAAGCGCCAATTACCTTCGCATGCAGACAATCATCGAAGAGATATTCCCACAGTTTTAAAATATTTCTATCATGAGATTTTTTTTCTCTGTTTAAATCTTCTCCCACAATTTTTCCAGCATACACATAATAAATTTTTCAAATATTAGCAAATTCCATAACTAAAGTCTGTTGCATCAACCGCAATAATTCAGACAGATTGAGTATGTCTATAGGTATATATGCACATACAAACATTTGCCACTTCAGCTTGTAGCATAGGAGGAGGAGGAGGAGGAGCAGAGGCACAAACACAGGAGCACCGTCTGCTGCTGCTATGAGAATTAGGAAAAAGAATGTACAGAAACAAAACAGCAGCCGCGTTACTAGGCAGACAGCGAAGCTCCACACAGCCGCACAGACTCACTTTGTATTTAAGCCAACTTTTCAAGTGGCAGACGGTCAAAGAGTGCAATGTCGATACACGACGGCTGATACTCTTGGCTTGGCTTGTTGGAGTACATGAAGTTGCAGATAGGCGCGCGCAATGCAACAACGTAACTATGGCAACGACGACTTGAGTGAGAATAAAACAACATCAGACGGCTGAAGGCAGACAGCACAGCGCGTGTTGCCATTGATTTCGCCATACAAATGTGTACGAGGTGAAATATGCAACACTGCCAACACAAGAGCAGCAAAAAAACAATAACAAAAAATACAACAACAATAAATGTAGAGCCACAACAATGCCAATAACAACAGAAGCGCCAAGAAACGCGACATTTTCATGTTGGTCGCATTATTTGTTGCTGGCAGTGTAAGAAGTAGTGGCGTTGTCTGCAATCGCTTTGCTGGCATCAGCGGAAAAACTATAAGCTATAATCAGCAGCTAGAATAGCAACAGCAACAACAGCAACAACAACTACTACAAGCCAACAGTATTGCAATGCCAACACCAAGCAAGCAAACTCAAGATCCATAAGAACTATTGTAAAATACACAGACCTAACCGACGACTATGCATACGTATTTACATACACATGTACATACATACATACATACACACATACATGTAAACATATCTACGCCAACTCTTAACAAGAGCAATGGAATCGTGGCAATCAGCCGTGCAAGTACATGACGAGCTCACTGCATCTTCATGTTAAATAATGGGCAACATGTAGCACAAAGCAACAACAATAACAATAACAGAAATAAAACAATAACAACAACAACGACAACTATTTTAGAATTGCATGCCACCAACTACTGAAGTAGTTTTACGAGTATCTACATTGCAACAACAATTACAACAAACAGCTATGTCTACACATACACATACACATACACACCGGGCTAAACATGCTGCGATACCTGAAGCTTCATACTATAACTGAGACCACAAACCTCTAGCTTTCATACACACACACACACATACATACCCATACACACACGCATACACACACACACATACAGCCTATTACAATATATATTTGAAATCGTGACTCCACTTAGCATCGCGTCTGAGTACTTACTAAGTACAAGTATATATGTATGTATGTATGTATGTATGTATGTATGTTCTCCATCATGCAATGTAACACCAGCCTACTTAACGTGCAGTCACAGACATCGTCGCCTTCGTAACTATCATCTATCAAAGTACACACACATATATGAATGTAAGTATGTATGTATGCATTGGTAGAGTAGTGTTTATGAAGGTGCAGCAAATGACGTTGAAAAGGCAGCAAAATCAATTAAAATTATTGGCAGTTTTCGCCTTCAGGCAATGGGCAGTGCGACCGACATAAAAATATTAGGGTTAGTATAAAGAAATCCATCACTTTAGCATTATTAATCTGTAACTCGCGCTGTATGAGTCCTATCGGGTTCCTCTAGCGGGCGTTAGAAAGATGACATTTTGTACGAAAAAAAAACCTTTTCTGACAGTTTTGCGATTGATTGATTCAGTTTTGCTTGAGCGTGCGTCAAAGATGGACACTAGCAAAAAGAAAATACGCCATATTTTGCAGTTTTTCATCGATAAGGGCGAATACGCAAACCAAACGGCTGAAAATGTGAATAGGATTCATGGTCCTGATACTGTTACAGTCAATCATGCGCAATTTTGGTTTCATGCCAGTTATTTTGATGTAAAAGTGGACGTCCAGTAGGCAAAAATATCGCTAAAATCATGGAAATTGTCGAGACCGACCGTCATGTAAGCACTGTTTCGATTGCCCAGGAGCTAAATATTGCACAGAAAACCGTTTGGAACCATTTGAATTGGTCTGGATACGAAAAGAAAAAGTTGAACGATTCAATTTTATGCAAAAATAATGGATTTCTTTTTACTACACCTAATACATGAGAGTAGTTGCAAGCGAAATTCTAGCCGAAGGTGCTCGCGTGGTTAAGCGCTTTAACACCGAGGTAGATCGGAATCAAAAGATACCAACAAGCAAATGGCAAAAATAGAAGAATGAAAGAATGGAACAGTGAATTGGTTAGAGTAAACGTAAGATCAAAAAAAAAAAACAAAAACAGCATCAAAAGAACTAGCAGGCGGCTTGAGTAGCCGGATGAGCTCAACCAGTATAATGTATTCATTTCACATTTTTAAGATCATTTCATAGCAGACCTGGAGCCTTTGAGCTACTTGAATCTGAACTACACTTTTCAATAGACTTGCGGACTTGTCCACATAAATCCAAGCTCGTCCTGCTTCTGTTTACAAAGTTTGAGTGCGCCAGAAATACTCGGTCCGCGAGATTTGAAATTCCATGACCGGGCTCACAGTCTACATGTCTTATAACTCAGCGTCAAATTCTTCGTTATCTTGCCGTCTTTTTCTCAGCCCTGAGTGTTGTTCTGCGCCCAGAAAAGTAGTTTACGGTAAAATCGCCACAGTTAGAAGCTATCTGACTCCAGTTTATTACTGTCCAACGTCCGAATAACAACGCTTGCAAAATTTTCAGTAAGCTTTAAAAGTGCTGTCTTTTTAGGAGTGTTTAGAGTTTAGATCAGACTTCTTTAAAATTCTCAAAAACTCTATCGGCCTCTTTGCGCCAGACAAAAACCTAAACGATTTTTTGGCCTCTGCTCTCCTTTGCTTTATCCTGCGAGCTTTGTCGTCTTTCTGCCTACATGTAATATTGATAATCTTTGCTGAAGAGCGGAGGCATCAGGAATATATATTTTTAAAATTCTCTTTAGAAGTTTTTCTCATGTATTGTAGATCTCAGCACTCAAGCCACTCTAGAAGACGTTAAGACGTTTAGCTCTCATGAGAGAACCATGATATACTTAATGAGACATAAGAATTTATATTCTCCTAAATTTTCTTATTACGGTCACCCCTTACCGGAAATGTCAACCCCTTCGAGGGTCCTCATAAAAAACCATCAGACGTTCGGAGGCAGCTTAGTATAAACTGTAGGTCCCTCCATTTTGTTGGCAAACACATCAAGACGCAAAACCACAAATTGGAGGAGCAGCTCGGTCGAAAAACGCTGCAGCGGTTATGAAGTGATAATTATAAAAAAAAAAATTTAAACGCTAAATCACCTTTTAAGTCGTTAGCCAAGTGTGATCTATGGATCGTCAAGAAACCGACCCTCTAGCAATGCAATCAGCTTTTTGCGCAGTCTTCGGTTGATCTTTTGAGTCAACTATAAAATAATTTTCATGCATTTTTGTAAGAGCTCGAAATAAAACACTGTAAAAATCTTTCGGCTGCTAATTTCCAAGATTTATTTCCAACTAAACCAAAGAAAATGAAGCTTTGCGCTTAATACATATCACCACAAGATGGCAAGACACACAATCGAAATATGAGCGAACGTGGGTGCGCGTTTGCTAATGGACAGACAATAATCTCAATGACAACACCGAAACCAATAAGAGTCATTTGCGCACGCCATACAGAGGACAGAAGAGTCAGAGTCAAGCACGAGCACGTTAAACAAGGAGTCGGTCGTGTACTGGTACGTACTTATCAGCGCGACGACATCGCTACTTTATCGGCAACTCATTTTTGTGTGTATTTCGCCACCAACATGAAACCCTGAACTGATTGAGAAATAGTGATAAACACGAGGACAAGAAAGCGTAACAAGATGGCTTCAGAAAAAATTTATTTGCGCATTTTACTATTTGCACTTTTAACTAAATTAATTACCAACACTACTAACAGACTAAATAAGTTTATAAAAAAAAAAAATTATTTTTTAAAAATATTTCTCCGGCTCACACTTCGCATGCCATTTTCATCACACATGTATGTACATACATATACTCGTATTTATGTACGCAGTACAGTCAGCCAGCCATCATCCATCATCTATCAACCGCGCACACACCGTGAGCTTACGTTTTGTCCAGCAAATCTACTCAACGCTCCCTCTCCTCACTATCCGCCCAACCTGTCAACCAAATTGTCGGCTATCAATTTCATTGCTATTTTTGTCACAATTACACTCTGAAGAACCTTCTAGGCGTCCATTTTTCGATGTCAATATGCGTATGCCTTCGGCGAATTTCGGAAAGCCGGACATGGACTCCCTCAGCGTTGTCATCATCACGGGCAGATACATGAAGAAATCTTTCACATGTGTAAATAGCATATTATAGTCCATTGGTGTGTTGTTATTGTTGTTGTTGTTGTTATAGTTGCCACGCAACAGATTGCCCAAAGCATTGCCATTCACACCGCCGCTGCCGCCGCTGCCGCTGCTGCTGTCATTGTAATCGATGTCGTTGCTGTTATGCGCTGGTGCTGATGCTACACGAGTGATGAGTTGCAATTGTACTAGGAAAAGTGAGGGGATTAATATCCTAATATACATAACCGTTAAATATGCGAAAGGCTTTTGTACTTACATAACAGTAATATTACTAAAAAGCGCGCGCATATTCTTCGCTGCATACTGATGATGGTGCAAATGGAAATGCTTGGCTTGACTGATTCTTTTTCTTGATTTTTTTTTTTTTGAGTTTTTTACTTTTACTTCACACTGTGCTTTGCTTCTGCTTTTGCAGCTGGTTCTTTCACATTAATTGCCGTTACACTACCGCATTTGGGTTTTTATGAATTTACCAACGATATTTTTGCGCGATTTGCATATTTTCACTTTCAAGTACAAACATTGCTTCTGGTTTTGTTTCAAAACATACGGTATACAGGGTGTTCTGGGAAAAAATGTTGAATACAAATATAAAAGAAAGCCTGGAGTTATGTTTTTCACCCACCAAGTCAACTTTGTAGAGTACAATAAATACGTGGAGAGAATTTGAAAAAAGTATTTTCTTTAAATCTAGATTTTATAGAAGAACTAGGGTTTACTCAAGATTGTGTATTTCATTAGAATTTCTTTCTTTCTGTTAAGATATGGGAAAATAAGGAATGAAAACGTATTCTCCACATATTAACCTCGGCAAGGAGTTTTCTATGGTTGAAATTTCAGTTAAATTGTGCCCCATAAATGCGGGTATGTTTCTTCCATAGATCCGTCACGGAACAAAAATTTCTCCATTGACGTAAGCGAATAGCGATCTACGTTCCAAATATCAAAAGAATTCAACTAAGAATATGAGTTTTCTGAACAGACAGTTCTCTTCTTGAAAGAAAATTTTCTCACATGCTCCACATATTAAGCAAAACCAAGCCATCGATCGGGCCCCAGAACCACCTTCCGGGGTATAGAATGTACCAAATATGCATTTAGATCCAAAGCCGCCGCTATAGCTTTGCACGTAAATCAGTAATAAATTATTAAAAAAAAGAACTTAAAAAAAAAACAAATTAAAATGTTTCGAAAAAAACAGTTCCAGATCATGGAAGGTAAAGTATTTCTCATGTCAATTGAAGCAAAGTTTTACTTGCTTACCAAATTTCATGAAAATCAAATGAATTTAAACAAAAAAAAACTCGAGTTTTTCGAATAGATCGATCCCCGGTCCACTTCATGGAAAATCGGAATCATACGCAGAACACACAACTTGAGTTACACGTCTCTACGATCTGTACTGTGAGTCGGTGGGTACTCTTATAATAGTATACTTGTGAGCAAAAAGTAAGGCGAATTTGTTTATAGAATTAAAAATCTTTATTTATTCTACTGCATCGGTTTCGTCGCCTTCAAAATACTCCCCTATCGATGCAATGCACTTACGCCAACGCTTTTTCCAATTATCGAAGCATGTCAAATAGACACGTTCTGGTATGGCCTTCAGAGAGAGAATGGCGAATTCACGTTTAATCTCCTCAATCGACTCAAAACAGTGTCCTCGAAGTGTTCTCTTGAATTTTTGGAAAAGCCAGAAGACATATGGTGCTAAGTCGCGTCGGCGGCGAATATGGTGGTTGGGAAACGATATACGTGGAATTTCTCGCGAAATGGTCACGAAGAATGAGTGCTGTCTGCACTATCGTAATGCAAAAACCACGAAGGCACTTTTAGTCGTTTAGTAAAGTAACTAAAGTAGAATATCAATAAGAGTGCTACGAACATTTAAAAAAAGAATTAACCCGAAATATTAAACGCGCGAAGTTCGAATTAAAAATTCATGTACTGTTTGCTCAAATATATGTATAATTGGTGCTTTGTAACCGCTGAGGCTTATCATAAGCTTCCAAATCGATCTAAATAACAGTTTTGGAGCTACAGCCAACTTTACTGATTTTGATCAAATTTTACACAGTTTGGCGAGATACAACTCACGAGGACGAAGAGGAAGATATATATATTAATTTTTTTTTTTTCAATTACAAAAAATCAACAATAAAATATGTTGAGCAAATTTTACAAAATTTGTTTGTTTTTTTTTTTGTAAAAGAAAATCTTAAAAAAAATATTTTGAAAGAAAATCTGTTTTCGTTTTTCTTCGCCCAAATTATAGTTTCAATTGCTTCGTATGACTCTCAACGCAGACGCTTCTTTCTGCCGAGGGTTCATCGGAGATGATGTTCGTGATCATCATCGCGGTGGCGTTATCAATATTTGAAAACTTCAAAAATTCCTTGTCAAAAGTAAATATATGCACTTTTGGGACAGTAAAAATTTCGAAAAAAATATATTTTATTTTTATATAAAAAAATTTAATAATAATAAATATTTTTTCCCGATTAAATCCACTTCATACTACAATAGAAGAGAATAGTATCTATCATGATACAAAATACTAGGTAGTTTCACTCAAAATTTTTTGAAAAAATATTAACCAACTGACACCAAAAGCAAAGTTTTACTTTTTTCACTTTTGCGTTATTTTATTGCCACCAGTATCATTTAAATAAAAAAGTAATATTCAACTCTCTAAAATTAAAAAAAAATTCATTACAAAATATGCAAAATTTGTCCATGTAAACAAAAAATTCAAAAAAAAAAGAACGTACTCACAAAAAACACAAAGTCCTTGCATATTATTTCTTGAAATCTAATAGTAGAAAAAATTGTTCCTTTCGGCTTGGCATTTTTATATAAAAAAAATTTATGGAATATTTTTAAAGCGGAGTTAAAATAAAAATAAGATATAATATCCTTTTCAGTCAAACTTATATTGAGTGAAACTATCTTCCTTTTTTCGTAACATGGTATATACGAGTATAATGAAAATTTCCTTTTCCATCAATTTCGAAAACGAATATAAAATATTCAGACTTGAGTAAAAGCACACCCCTGCCATAACAACAGGAAAGAAAAGTTCAAAAATTTCTGCAATAACGAGTAGCATGTGATGGGGTCTATACGAGAGCTTTCAGTCATGTGACGGGGTCTATGCGAGTGCTTTCAGTCATGCCTCCGGCTCAAATTACTATTCTAGTATTTACCGTGGCTTGCATCGAAGCAACTGTGAAGTAACTGCTATCGTACGAAAGGAAATTACGTCTAACGTCAATGGTACGGTTTGGAATGCAATTATGATAGAAGAGAAGTAATTATCTTTTTGGTCATAATAGAATTTAAATTGCACTAGGGCTTGGAGCGTTATTTGAAGTCACCCATTTGAAGTTAACAACTTCTCGCGCAGCAAATTTGAAGTCGTTTTTCCTTGCGTTAATTGGTCCAAAAATGTCTATACAATAATTATAAGATTCTCCTTATTTTCTTATATAATAAAATAAAAATAAAATATAAAATTGCTTAAGTTTTTTTCTGTTTTTTTTTTTTTTTTTTTGTCAAGATTTGCAAGAAGTTGAATAGAGCTTCATAACGGCTGGCATATCGAAATAAGCGTAAAATTCTTTTGCCGTCAGGGCTGTTGTAATTCCAAATTATGTAATATAGAGAACGTTTACCCATGATCGTGTATATTTCAATTCGAAGACCGTATTATTTATTATTATTATATTTTTTTTTGAATTTTACTTTAAGACTGAATTTAATTCAAAAAAATTATTTTCAATATAATTTAAACATTAGAAAAATTGGCTTTTTCTGAGATCACTTTTCACACTCGTCGAAATCTATTAGCAATTACTATCAATTAATTAATGTAATATTCTAATTTTATTAAGTGAAAATCAAAAATCAAAAGGCGTAACAAATTAAAAAAAAAATTAATAAAAATAAAGTTTCAAAACCTCAACTTTTTCAACTATAAACCAAATTTCAACACCCTGTATAAGAGATATTTTTTACTTTAAATGCAATAAAGAACAAGTATACAACTTGACCCAATTTTCAGTGGCGCGCTTATGTTCATTTTACACTCTTCTGAACTTGAAGTTTTCACAGGTAATTTGAAGTTTACTTGTGGGTGGTTTCAAAACACCAAATTACTGCATGAAGGTGGAACGAAAATTTTCCCAAAAAATACTTAATATCAAATGAATTCCTCCACGATTGAATAACATTCAAGCTGATTGCATTGCAGCTCGCTTCTAATATGCCCTAAAGGTTCAGAGGTAGAAAATTGCGGAGAGCTAGCGGTGCTTTGAGGGAGACGATGCTAGTGCTCATGCTACGAGTATAGCTGTCGACCGTTGAATTCTCTCTGGTTTTGCACCTGTTCTTTTCCAGTGCCGATCACCGCACGGTGACAGCGCTAAAGTATATTGCTTTGAAGGTGGAAAATTTGAAATTGTATAATAAAAAAATTGTTTTTTTTTTTAGAAAAAATTAAATAATTATTTGAACAGTTCAAATGGGAAGGAAAAGTTTTCTTGGCGGTATGTATGTGTGCAACAAAAAATCTTCATACCGATCAAATAATATTAATCCGTTTTAAGAAACTCAAAAGTATTTAAAAAAAAATTAAAGATTCATTTGAGATAGCAGTGAGAGCTGTTTTCTGTCTTATTCAGAAAGATTACTGAGTAAGCAAAAACAAAAAAAATGTGCTATAATTTTTTCATTATAAAACACATCAAATTACAATCATTCAAAGGCGCTGTCAATGTCTTACTTTTGAATCCTTCTCAATTTTGAATGCGCAAAGAATAAATATGCATAAGTAAATTAGTAAATTAGTTCTTTGGCTAAATTATGCCCAAAACTTTTGTTTTGTTCGCTTTTAAAATATATTTAAATACATACATATTTATTAATGCTTCTCATCGTCACACTTTTACTCCTTAATCATTTCAAATTTTGTGAAATTTTCCAAATTTGCTTTTTTTTTGCTGCCAAAACCACCGCATTGCACTCTCGATAGTCACATCTGGTGGATGCTCATCAGTGGGCATAATCTCGAATGACAGTGATTGATGTTTACGAAATTATGTGATCCATTACTCGCAACGCTCTCACCCTTTCCATTACATCCGTCACAAACTAAATGCTATTGCTGCTGCTGCTGCGCCCATAGTCACAGTTTTCCATTCATCAGCCGTCGAGCGGGTGCGGTGACAATATAAAAGGAAACGAACAAAAGCCGAAAACAATCGAAAATAACTGACAGTGAAATTGCAAATTTTTAAGTGAATTGAAGCTTTTTTATTATTACGCACAATTTAGTATTTATTGTCATACTGCGCCAGACTGACTGACTTTTTCGTTAGTTTAATTTCGTTTATTTTTTTAGTCGCTATTTTATCGGGT